AAAATAGTTTTGTGTCAATAAATTTGATTGCGATTACAATACTTAAAACCATAGAAATCAGCGAATACTTGGTTACGCTTGAATGGGAACACGTGTCGCGGGAATAGTCCCGACACGTGAACGTTAGATCTCGTTTGCGGGAACCCATTAGTATGTCCACAGCGTATGGGGTCGGGTCTCGACACCTGTCCTGCACCAGTCGACTCACGCAATCCCTATAGTAATACAACGCGCTGGAAATACAAATAGTTGCAAACAATTAACCCTTCATGTGTAATCATTGATTTGTAAAACATGTTAAATTTAGTCATATACTTACCAACACATCCGGCGCTGGGAGTCGCTAGGGTTACGATTCTGGTAGTCCCGGGCGTCCCTCTGCCGTTGGGTCAGCTGGTCTTCGCAGCTCCGCAAGAAATAGCCCACATTTTCCAGACAATCCCCGGAACCTGTATATTGTAGTTATACAGTACTGTAATTAATAAATTGTGTATAATTTTATGTTAACCAAGGACACTTACCACCCCTGCTATCATAGCCACTGCCATATCCCCTGTCCCGGTCGTACGGTGACCTGTCCCTATCGCGATCGTATCGGTCTCTATCGTACCGGTCCCGGTCCCGGTTGTCATACCGGTCCCGATCGTAGGCACTGCCGTGATTACTGCCGTAGTTATGGTCGCGATCGCGGTTATAATCACGATTGCGGTCGCGATCATAGTTGCTATCGTATCGACTGCCGTCGTAATCGGGACTCACAACGCAAGACCAGCTCAACTCCTGTGCCTTATCGACCAGATATGTCGATATCATTTGCAAGTCGTTTGTATAACACGACTGTCGGACTATACGGACCACACAATTGCGAAAGTCGTCGTAATTACGGCACGCCGTGGACGACATCGACGGCGGGTTTGACTGAAACCCGTACCGACTCTCGCAGTCTCGAAGGTCTTGTCGTAGATAACAGGAGGCACTCTTCCAGCCTATGACCGGGCGATTGCAAAACATG